TATATTTTTATAAGGCTATTGTCTTAGAAGAATATAACTAGTCCATTGAAACTCCACATTTATGGTACACCATTATAACACGATTTACATAAACACATGTCTTTGCAATATAAAAATAAGTTTTACAGTTTTGAGACATCATGTTTGAATTTGTAATGTCAGTTTCAAAATTAATTATTTCAACACATCAAAAGTTACAATGTTTAACAGCATTGAGCATTAACATATGTGTTCAATAAGATATTGAAATTAACGCTTTTCACAACATATCTTGAATCATATTGTAGTATCAATTCAACGTTTCTGTTGATCAGAAACACTTAATTGATCGTAAATTTCAATTATTATACAATCATATTTTAGTTGAAGCTTCTATGATGTCCTTAGAAACTGTTTCTACTTAAATCTGCTTAATTCAAGAAAATAATAGTCATAATGCTTCATTCTTTAATTTTATTTGCATTCAATGTACTTGTTATACAATAAAATAAAATGAGTTTTCCGCGTCTGATATTAATAATAGCCATCTTATGGTTATGTTAATAATTGTCATCGCTTTGACGAAAATATATTTATCGTAAATTGTGTGATATTTGATGTTCTTCATATACATTACTTCATATACATTACTTATAATACTTTATAAAGTTGGTCGCGACGTTATTTAATCGACATGACTGCTGTTCATTTATTAAATAATTTTCCTCAAATATTTTTTATGAATTCATTAAATGATTTCTGACAGGTTATATTGACGTATATTGTCAGTTATATACAATATATCCTTAAGTTTACATCCACATAGACATTTCTTATTACAGAAAAATGCCTTAAAAGTAAATTATAGAAAGGACTTCTAAATGTCTGCAAATGTTTGTTTTATTCCTAATGTGAGGCCATGCCTAGAATAAAATGTCATTAGATACGTTAATTTCTATGAGGTAACTTATTTTAAGATGTCGGTATCTAGATTAATGTGATACAATTTCAACACCAGAAACAAAATTATTAGAATGCAAAGCATATCTGAACCATGTATGCTATAACAAATCTATTAATACAACACTTGAATAACATTACAACGTTTTATCTATCATTACACTGATAGAATCAAAATCGATTTCAATAGCTAGTTTGGGAGAATATATATCAGAAAATTTTATATCAGTAGAATATTTTGGCATGGGTCAATTTCTTGGTATAAACACAATATTCTTCGAAAAGATATTGCTGTAACATGAATAATTTTAACAGATGAGCTGTTTCTTATTTTCATATTTTCTTTAGTTAAATGTATTTTGTATCGCTCACCTTGAAATAAAAGAAAGAGTGTGATCAAAATGCTGATATTATAGTAGTTTTTGATTGCCACCCTTGGTAATATTATGAGTAAATTCAACTTTGTTTGCATCATATTTATGCTAATCTATCATATTGGCTACATCTACCTTACGATAGAAGGAGTAAATTTATTTTATTCCGATGGTAAAAGGAAATGAAATTACAGGGAATCAAATGATTATTTACTTCCATTGTTACAAAGATCATTTTGTTCCCTTAATGACCATACTAAACACTATATTTCTCTTGTTGTAATTCAAACATACACTTTGAAAACAAACTGTTTCTTTACACATTGTAAGTTTTATTTTGGTGATCTGATTGGTATGAAGTACAAATTAAAGACATCAACGCTTCACGTGTTAAATTTCAAATTATTTATAAAATATGCCGTTGCAGATAACAAAAATCATTACTTTTTATTTGAAACATAGATCAGAACAGACTGATGTTTCAGCCAGAACATTTAATGTAAAAGAATATATATTTTATCATTTTTATATGCACTTAATTACGTTCCAGGTGTTACGGAGTTACCGCCGTCTAATGTATGTCATTTTGGTCTATTCTTGAATAGTTTAGATAAACAAATTTATTTAAAGCTTGCCATTTCCTATTAATTATAAAGGGTTCGAAATCTCCTACAATATATAATTAATTCGTTTGTGCGTTTGTAGTTATTAGTTTTAAGTGGAAATTTCAGGTGATTATTTGATAACATTTGGAACTTGGAAATTATTATGGCAATTATACAACAATATACTTATAGTGTTTTTGCTATAACCAAAACATAATTATTTGTTAGAATAACTGAAGAAAGGCTATTAATTAAACAGTTATATTTCATTTCATTAAAAAATTATGTTATTTTCTGAGCTGTTCTTTATCAAATGCTCAAAGTATGTAGTGTGTGATAATTAAACAACCTGGCATAATACAAAGGGTCCTAAGATCTGGAAACATTTATGCACAAATCATTATGCCATATCTTATAAAGATACGGAGTAGGAAATTTACCTGTTAGTAAAACAAGTATAATGATAGTTTGCCTTTATCCGTCGGGGATTGTTTGCATAAATCATAATTTTGCATAAATCAACATCTAATTTTGATGTAATGCTTATAACAATAATTGATTTTAATAAAAATAATTAAACAATTCGTAATACAATTAACGTTTTGCTAGCAAAGAAACATGAATTATTTCGGATAATGACCTATTCAAAGTAAATCATTTCTATAATCATGGCATATTCATTAATTATTCTCTGAACGTGTATACCCATAAAGTATTCATATACCGTATTTTACAGGATTTGAAATAAATAACTGATGTGTTATTCCGATGTTTTGAAGCATCAATTTTCAGTCGAAAATGTTGCAGGGTCATGACATGTACTGGAATCATGCCGGAACAATTGGTTCATTAGTCATACCGATGCTAGTTTCACATTGAGATGACCGGTAACTAAAGGTCAACAAAAAAGTAACGTCACAATAGCTAGCTAAATATCGTTTTATCAAGTGCGTGGTTATATAACACAGAAATAAATGAAAATGAACTAAAAATTGGCAAAAATTAGACTAGCGGAAAAAGAATTTAATGACTTGTATTGTAATAGAATTGTCTTGTAATGCAGGAAGTGATAGCAGCCGGTTGGGGAATTTAAATGAAATATTTCTCTTGTTTGTTTTTCTGTTATGATAACAATTGTCAATATGTATTAATTGTTTTCAGTGAAAGAAACAATTTAGAACAATAAGTTAATATCTAGTTAAATTCTGTCCTTGACACTTTAATGGATACATTGGTATCAATATGTATAATGAATTGTTAAATCTCTTTTTAATGAGACTTTGATTTTTTGTATTAAAGCAAACAAATACCTGTTACATTGGTTACGATACTTTGAATGAACACTGACTATCTGTCGTGATTGCTTATTCGTGATAGCAGTCAATAGCGTAAATGTAATGAATTTATTCTATTTTTATCTTAACGACTTCAAAGTCAGCCGCAAAAGATATCAATACCTGATATACGTTCAAGCCATTAATTAATCATTCTAAGCAGCTTATATTTTATAAGGAAGGATGATGGTATCAATTTTGGATATCCTTTGATGATAACCTTAGCTGCTTACAAGAGACAAAGTCATTTCTAATTAATTTGATAATTATTTTCTGAGCATTGTTACGTGATATAGTTGAGCCTCGACAAAGACTTACACTTTGTACTCAACCAGTTATCCGCACTTCTATTATTGTTAATTACAAAATGGAAAAAGCATAATTATTTTTGCTTTACACTTTAGTTGTGGACTAGAAACTACATGTATAATGTTGTAGACAATGCAAAATGAGATTGAAGAAAAGCGGTTCTTAGAAAAAGTTTAAAATCGATGACAACACTATTTAAAGTGCCGTTGACATTTACTTTATTCATTTTAAAAACCTTTTCAAACATTTCTGAAAAATTAAAAAGTTTTGAACAGACTATCACATGGTAAAGCTTATAAAGTTGAATTTTATTTTTGAAAATTGAGAAATGAAAGAAATAGGTTGTGTTCTAACATGGGTGTGTCTATTTATATTTTAGCACCGGTTAACGCAGTATTCTTTCATTAATGGTATCTGCGTTTATCATTATATAACAAATACCGTGCAATGTAAAGTTTATTTTTGATACCGTCTGGAACACATCGCCAACTTTAATATCGAAACAGTTTACATTTGAAGTAAAATAATTACTGCTTTATAATTTGTTATCATTATTACACACCCTAGGAATGTGATCAACAATGCTTTGCTCAATAGATGTTCAGAACCATTTGTTAATGGTGTATTAATTGTTTTAAACATTGATGAATTTCTCATTTTTTTTTTTCGTTTATCTTATGCAATCATTGTTTAAGGCCCGGTCACACAGCCCTCCACGGGCGTTTCGCGGCCGAATAACGGCCAAAAATTTCTGCCCGTGAAGCAGACGCTGTTGGCCGCTTAGAGGTCGCGATAAAGACGCGATACAGCCGTACTTTACCCGTCGTTACACGCGGTACGAAATTCACACGCGGTTGGCCGCGCGAAAAAGTTTTGGGCTGCCCAAAAATTTAGACCGCGGGTAATCGCGGGCGATACACGTGGTACACACGCGGTAAAGACGCGGTACAGACGCGGAACGAACGTGCTAGGACGTGCTACGGCCGCGGTTAAGACGTGGTTACACGCGGTAGGACGCAAAATTTGAGCGGGTAATCGTGGATGGAGCACGGTCATAGCACGTTTGTACCGCGTCTGTACCGCGTTGTTATCACGTGCATTAGCGTGTGTTCCGCGTGTAAGCACGGACAAATGCCTTTCTACGCGTAAACAGCGCGCCCCAATACCGGCCTAATCACGTTCAATTGCGTCTTGCACACGTCCCAAATACGATTGTCCACGGCCTTATCGCGTCCGTACAACGTCTGATTTTAGGTATATAAAAAGCGCGATTTGCCGAGCATTGCCCCAGACGTCAAGGGGTGAATATTGATTCCCGTCACCGTAATGAACTTGTCTTGCTGCTCCAGCAGCATCAGAACTAAGTGGTACAGGTCTATCAGCTTCTCATTGACAGAAGAAGACGAAGGAGGAGGAGGAGGGTGGTCCGGAACATCTGGATGCGCGACTGGATTGGCAGGAGACCTGAGCTGGGGCTGTATGATCGTCTCATGGTGGAGCTCCGTAATGAAGATCCAAGGGCCTTCCAGAACTTCATGAGAATGCCACCTGCCATGTTTGATGAAATTGTGCAGAGACTGACACCAGCCCTTTCCAAGGAGACCACCAACTGGCGAGCACCCCTTGATCCAGGCCTGAAGGTTGCCCTCTCCCTGAGGCACCATGCTTCTGGCGCCAAGTACCGTGAGATGCAGTTTGGCTGGAAGGTCCCTCACAACACCATCAGTCTGGTGTTGCGCGTAGTGTGTGCGGCCATCGTCGATGAGTTCCGTCATGGGCTGCTCGCGCCACCACAGACTGCTGCAGAGTGGCGTCAGATTAGTGACAATTGGATGAACAGTTGGAACTTTCCGCATGTCATTGGTGCAATAGACAGCAAGCACATTGCCTGTAAATCTCCTGCCAACGTTCGGTCCGACTACTTCAACTTCAAGGGCTTCTTTAGTGTCATCCTCCTGGCAGTCGTCACATCTGACTACAAGTTCCTCTGGATAGACGTCAGCGGCAAGGGGTCTTCGTCTGATGTCCACATCTACAATGCAAGTGATTTAAGAGAGGGTCTCCAGAACAATGATATTATTGGGTTCCCACAGCTATACCTTACTTTCTGGTGGGAGATGATGCTTTCGCACTCCGGACCTACATGATGAAGCCGTATGGTAACAAGGACATGACCAGAAAGCAGAGGATACTCAACTAATAGACTCAGAAGGGTAGCTTTATTATACCCGTGGTAGGCCGCGGTACCGCCGCGCTTCACCCGCGATAAGAACGCGGAACTGTCGCCGGCGTCTGTTCCGCGGGCATACCACGTGTCAACCGCGGGTTAGCCAATTTTGCACATTTTCCACCACGGGCAACCGCGGGCAAAAAAAAATCGCGAAATTTTACCCGCGATACAGACGCGAAAGGCTGTGTGACCGGGCCTTAAAGTGCAAAACTGATGTTGCCAGTACTTTCAAAAGATAACTGTTTAATGAGAATTTTTATCACTTTTACATCTGTTACATGGTTAGCTTTCATATTTTACAAAATGCGTAACTCTCATCAAAGTTATATTTGAGAATAATTAAGGTTATCAAAAAGTGTTAAGCTCTTCCATTTGGCATGCAGTTCTTCACTACGATTCTCTAATTTTTGTATAGTGTGAATAAAATCATATCATTATCTATTCATATAGTGTACTGATGCATGAAGAAAAAAACGTTCATAGATGATGTTATGAAATGATTTAGTTTTTTTACCTTTATTTTAAAACACAAACTAAAAGAATAATTCATGTATTTAACGATACTCTCTTTGTTCTATACAGATCGTACTTATCTGTAAATAAGTATTATAAAGACAAATGCATAACCATGTCATAACAATGTGTTACTTCAATTTCAGTTCTAGTAAAAAGTCCACATTATCTTAACTCAATCGGTATAATATTGCTTTACTTCAAAACGCTTTTCAAATCATTTCAAAATGGTATTAAACAGAAAAAAACATCTGAAAATTGTGAATAATTACAGTTATACAATACAAAATACAGAGCCACGATCATAAAGTCAATGTTTGACTTGTTTTAAACTGATAGTTGTGTTCTACAAAAAATAAGTAATAGGAGAAACCGATTATGTCTTTCTGAAAGCATTATATATACAATCGCTAGCTCACAACGTCTTACACAAGATAGGGAATGATTATCCGATAGAGTATACATGATTTTTTTACTTCACCTGTAAATATATCAATTAAAAATTCGCAAAAATTATCTTTATGTTATTACATTACACAATTAAAACATATCTATGAAGGTACGACACCACTGAAAATAAAATAAGGAATGATATAAACGTTTTTTCTTTGATTTGAAATATTTAACTTTGTATTCAATGTAAAAAAAATGGCATATATGTTTTAAAATAGGAATATGTTCCAGTATAAATTTCAATAAACAAACTTTGTAACAATAATTTGTATGCAATTATGTAATGTTTGATATTTGATACATTATAATATTATAACAATAAAGAAAAACAAATTCTTGCTTAAAATTCACTGTCATAAACATAAAACTGCATTGGTTGGTTGCTCTTGCTTTTTACACAAACTTTAAGCTTAAAGAATAATCGTCATATCACTAAGTGAAATAGTGCTTTATAATGTATGATTCATGAACTGACATATGACTGATAATGTTATTGTTAAGAAGCTTAGATTATAACACTACGTTTCTTTTCTGCAATGAATAACTGTTTTCATTCGAGATCACACAAGAACATCCCGGATAAGAGGTAAGTCCATTGTTTCATTAATCCAGTTATCTGCATCTGTAAATGAAACGAATAAATACTATCCATATGCTTTAATCTCATGTAATTATGCTGTCATTCATTTAATTGTAAGCACAATGCTATTGTTTAATATTATTTCGAAAACAAACAGTACAATTACCCTTGACCCATGTTCCGATATATTTCTTTCTGTGGAGAATTGTCTTAAGAAAATGGTACTGTATAAATAAGAGATTTAGTTTTATTATAATTGTTGATGTGTACTTGATTACATGTAAAAAAATTGTCATCATTTCTGTCATCGGCAATGGATTTGAATTAATATAGAATTCTTGAATTCACTGAAATACCAACAAACTAGGTATTTCATTTGAATAGTTTCCATTCAAAAACGCTGTCATATATTACCATTTCAATTGATAGATCCCTACTCTGACCTTTTATTTGAATAACATTAGATTTAACAACAAACATTGGCATGTGCTCTTTTGTTAAAAATATGTTGTGGTGAAATTTTTATTGTATCCACTAATCTGATAATTAGAATTAGACAGGTCAGGGATCTATGCATTAATTTATATCTACTTTATTTCATTATTTTCTGATGTTACTTTAATGATAATTCAAGTGAACTCGAAATATTGATATCCATTTTTCAAGCTTTACTTACGGACGTGGTTCGAACCTATAGCGGTAAGAGGCAAGTGGTTTGAAGTCAAAGATCTTAATCACTCGGGCACAGACGCGCTTGAATAATTTCATGAAAATAAGATATGTGCAATTAAATGAAGGGCAAAATAGGTAGTCTAGATCTACTATAAAAGTTTTTTTATATTCTCAATTCTTTCCTGTATAAAACATTTGAAACAAAAATTGTGACAAAACAGTTATACACACCTAAATTTTCCTTTTTTATCCTACCTGTAAGTTTATTGAAAATTTTAATAGAACCCTTTGTCTGAAGCAACTACAACGTTTTTCTTTTGTTCTGCAATATTAATAATATCTAACTGATACGAACAAGTATTTCTTTTACAAGCAATTTGATAATTTGATAAATAGCATTAATCAGATCAGTTTTTCTTACACAAATATGCAAATATCTTGTTTTTTATGCAAGGCCATGCTTTGAATTCAATGTTGTGCAATATTCACCGTAACTCAGTTAACGACATCGGTAATAAGATTACTACTGAAACACCGTTTCAATCAACACTTACTTATCAGAATGCAAAGGATAGCATGCTTACTGTGGCTCAATAATTTTCATGCAAATCTGATGAAAGAACTATCCTGTTTTGCATATAGCAATACTAAACAGATCATCTCTAACACTATTGACGAAAACTTCATTATCACGGGTTCGATTACAAAAAATAACGTTTTTGGTCTTTTATGAAAATCTGAATTTTAATACAAGAGTGAACACGTTAGAATCATAGAAACACTGGAACCATAAAAAACAAACGAAATAGTGTTAAATGATGCAGGATTCCCATGACGGACTGGGAAAGCCCGAAAGTGATCAAAGATAATGTTAATAACAGCAATGAAAGAAAAGACAAAAGGACATGACATTTAAATACAAATTTGGACAATCCCATCTTAGTTACTATTTATTGAATTGGTTCGTCATAAACACAAGACATAGTATACACAATATTGCTTAACACACATTGCTAACAAAAGATGACAAGCAGAAGTTTTAAATAGAACATTATTCATGATAACTTGAAAGAAACATTATATATTTTCTTTGTGCTGATAAAGTTCTATGTGCTTCATATTTACCCACACTTAAATGTCAGCTTAGCTTACACTAGTTACGCTTACATAAAGAAATGAATCTAAAGATGACCTTCAACGTATTTTTAGTGCATTTATTCTTTATTTATTTCTTCACATATGTATTCACCAGGCAGAAATATCGGTTGACAATTCGACCTATTTGAACAGGGACAGTTTTAGCTTAAATTTTGTCAGTAATATTAGTGAGCTTTCACAAATAATTATAAAGCAAATGTCTCAATGAAGGAAGCTGAGAAATTGACAACATCTTTCATCAAAGGAGACTGATACTGGCTTTTTTTAATTATGAGTTTGATTTATAAATGACAAGCTTTCAATGACGAAGCAGAAGCGTGTTACAAACTCAACATTTTTCATTTACGAGTGCAAACTGTTTTTCAAGTCCACACAAGAAAAAATACAAAAAAGATTATTTGATTGTCATAATGAAAGTTACCAAGAAAATACGAAGAACTGAAGAAATATAAAATCCTTATTGGCATATTATTGATGTAGGAGAACTTATTTAAACAATACTGCATTCAATCCAATCTATTATTTATTTATAATAAAATCAGCTCCTAATTAACGCTATGCATTTAGGATCTGACGGGCCAGCTTTTTGTGATATTTCAAACAGCCAATAATCGGGCGAGCTTTCACAATCTTTTAAGCGGTGCGGTTTTAAATTATAACCGCTGGAAAACCAATTTTGAGTAGGCTTGTTTGTTTGTTTGATTGATTGAGTTTTACGTCACGGTCATATGGCGACAACCCAGTTTTACTGGTGGAGGAAGACCTCAGGTGCCCCTCCGTGCATTAATTCAGGCACGGACGAGAATCTGAGTAAAGCCACCGACGTTCCGTAAGCTCCTCACATGAAAGAATCCAAAGTCCCTGTCCCTGGGATTTGAACACACAGAGGTGAGAGGCAAGTGGTTTGAAGTCAATGACCTTAACTACTCGGCCACGGACGCCCAAATACTGAGCAGGTATTTTTAGAACAAACATGGCGTTGTCCATATGGCCTGCAGGTAAACTGGCAAAACAATCTTGCCCATTAAAGCCATTAAAAATTGAATCTATTATTTCCAGTATATTTGTTTCAAATAACTTCAAACAAATTTTTCTTGCAAAAATCAACAACTAGTTTTACTTACACGAACAGCCATATTTTGGCACTTCTCCAATGCATGTCTGTAAAGTACGGTAAGATTTCATGGCTAAATAGCTTTGGAAATCTGAATCACAATGACGGCGAAACAAATACTGTGACAATCCGATCTACATGCAAGAAAAAACTAAATAGATCTGAACATAGTAAGATTAAAATAAAAGATTTTCCGAGTGTCCCTCTTTTTGGCCCGATTTAGAGTTATTTCTTTGAAAAAACATACTAAAAATACTGCTTTTTGGGCAAAAAAGGAAAAAAAAAATCAGTAATATAATTTTATTTTTCCAGAATATTTGTTCATACGTCTGAACAAAAAAATAAGAATAGTGTAAAAAATACAAATAAATTAGCAGTTTTAAACTTTGTCATACGTATGAACAAATGTTTTTCTCAGCTTGTCTTT